GAGAGAGAGAGAGAGAGAGAGAGAGAGAGAGAGAGAGAGAGAGAGATATAACCAATAGGTTCTACAGTCTGAAAAAGTTTGAAAACCCCTTGCAGAAAAGTAAATCTCACTGTGTTCAGTGATGTTTGCTCCCCAAAAAGCACGCCTAGGGCAACACTAATTTATACAAGCTTTTAAGAAGTACTCAAAGAGGCTGCTCACTGCATTTTTTGATATAAGATTGTAAGAAATCCAATTTGTTCCTCAGTCAATGGCCTCTGAATCCATCCAATTCAGGAACTTAACAGCGAGGTGCTTAGCATATATCTTGCTGATGATGCTGAGGAGGCTGATGGGTTGGTAATTGGCTGGAAGATTCAAATTGCATTTTTTAATAAATGGGGACACTTAAGGCAAGGATTCTTCTGGATTCACAGGTAGGATATGACGGCGATAACTGATTAAAATTGTTTTTTTAAAAAGCTAAAATATTTAGAGAGGGCAGAATGTCATGGTTTTGTGTAGATATTACATTGTTCCTATACTGTCCTAGATTCTCTAACCATTTCTTTTTTCAGCTCAAAACTGTATTGTGTGGAATAAGTAAGGAGTTTGCTCAATTCCAATGTTATTATCCAACATAAGTTAATAGGAAAATTAATTAAATCTGGAAATGGTACACAAGGACAACCCTAGTTTCTCCAGTTAAAAGAAACTTAGTTGTCCTGGGAAACTTGTGAATCTAAGAGACTGAATTTACATATCACGCTAAGATATGATTTCCTTTATCCGTCATTTGTTGAATATGCCAGAGTTATTCTTGTAGATGAATAAGAAATAAGGTTTGTTTGGCTAATTCCAGGCTAATTCCAGGCTCATTTTCTCTTCTTTTAAAATCACTTTTCCTTGTACCTTTCTGGGTTGCTTAGAGGCATGGGCAAAGTACATGAAAAAACACCACAGTAATGAACAGGAAACCATATATAAACAATGTGTCTCATTCTACATCACACTGAGTCACACTTAGAATCAGAAAGCCAACAGCTATACATAGTTTCCAACTGTAATACACTGTCCAAAATGAAAGTATGACTTATTCACTGGCTTTGATTCACACAAGGGAAGCCCCCAAAAGCAAACTAGATTATGGCTTAGTGTTGTATGTGAAGCCTACTCAAGCAGATTCAGATTTGCAGTCTCAGACTAATCATTTAAAGTGACTGTCAACCCATTAATTAACTGGAATTTTGGAAAGACAGAAATGGAGCTTTAGAAAGTTTATGATCATATCTGCATGTACTTCTTTTGAACAGTACAAAAGCTTTACTGGGACCATTGCCATTTTCTTTTCTTTAATTGACAGCTTGTGTCAAACACATTGCACAGATGGGTCAATATCACAAGGTCTTGAGGATCACAATAACAATTTGAAGCTATTTTGACTTCATATGATGTCCCTGATGTGTTCATTTTGTTTTGCTGTTGGTATTTTAAAAAAAAAAATGCACATATTTGATCAAATACAAGAACTTCAAGTAATCTTATCTCAAGTGGCATGATCTCTCCAGCTTTGCCTACACTTGGAAGCTGTGTTAGGTTGGGCCACATTCAGCACTGTCCCCAGGGGAAGTTCAAAACGTCAAGACATTCATGTGTCACTGACAGTGGTGGACATGAGTGAGGCTGCTGTGATTGCTCTCTTAGCTTTTTTAGTTCCACCACAGATGCCATTAGCCAGATTAGTGCTTGGTTGGGAGACCATCTTCCCAAAGCTGTAAGCTAGACCAGGAAGTTAAAAAAAAAAAAAGATCTTAGGATACAGTAGCAAACTTCTGTGCTGTTGCCAAGAAAATTGAATTGTATGTTCATTGTGTCACTAGAAAAAGAGGTTGACCTGAGGATATCTTTTTTACAACCATTATCTGAAATCTGATCAGGATCAGAGAATCCCAGCCTAATGTGTTAAAGGAGAACCTGTCTATGGAAACAGAATCCCAAAGGATAACTTTTGACAGTCTAATCAACATTTGAATTTTAGTTGGGAATAAATTGCATATTTTATATGTGAGAACAATATGTGAGAACAATAACTACTTTATTGGGGGGAATTGTTTCAATGTTATATGATGATATTATTTCACACCACCATTCTTTTCCTCCAAATGATTATGCCTGCACATTAAGTATGAACCAATTCCAAATGACATAACTCTTTTGTGAAATAATGTACAATTAAAAAGTGCATGGGAGGTTTTCTAGAGTTTATACTGGAAGGTACAAGGGAGAAATGGATGAAGGAAGGAAAAATAGGGTTTTCTAATATAAATTATATGGCTGAAAGGAAATGGAATTTTCTGATCTAATTTTGTCAACTGAGCTTGGTTCCTTTCCCCCCCAAAATAATAGTAATGGATGAGTCTATGTCATCCAGATTACAGAATGCTATGGGCAAAGAACCCAAAGGATTAGCATATACCATTTCAATTATGCATATGGGATAAATAGTATAGTTACCATGGGGTGAATAACTTAATGATTCATTTTAATAATGTTACAGTTGGGAGAAATTTTGGAAGTCATCTACTTTAATCTCCTCAGTGCAGAATCTATACTATGCACCATCTGACTTATGCTTATCCAGCCTGTGCTTAAGTATTTTGGTAAAGGAGAAGGTATCATTCTGCAACACAATGTACTCTATGGGTCAGTAGTTCTTACATTAAGGAATTTTCTCCTAACATTTAACCAAAATCTATTTCCTGCCTGCCTGAAGCAACAGAGAACAAGTTTGCTCCATCTTCTGCCTGACAGCTCTTCAACTATTTGAAGAGAACTGCCACGTCTCTTCTTAATTTTCTTGTCTCCAAGCTAAAGTTTCTGGTTTTTGTCTGCCCTGAATGATCTATTTTTCCCAAATTTAAACTGGAGTGTACCGCCCATAGCCCCCATGGATGCAAATATTATCCAAAACATTTTTTACAGCATCCAGGTCTCCTTCCTGAAAATCACTGCTATCAAAATTGGCATGTAATTTCTAAAATAGGCTTAATCCAGTTTGAAATAAAGTAATAATAAAACATCCAATCTCTTTCTCTTTCAAAAGGAATAAAGAATCACAACTGTGCCTATGTATGGTGTCACCTACATTGTGACACTGCCCCACCCACTGTGATCCTTGCCTCTCCCAAAATTAAATGCATTCCCTACTATCAATAGGTTGTCAGCCCTTCTGTACCAGTCTAGCTACATTTATAAGGATTATAAATGTATAATTTATAATTTGTCAGATTTGAAACACCCCTCCAAAAGAGCGGTTGTCCATTGCTAATTTATACATATGAGTTCATTCCTTCATTTTAGATTTTATCTTGAAAATAGGAGTAAATGAAATATAATATTTAGCAGCATATGATGCAAAATCAAATAAGTACCTCAAATGCATAAAACAATTAAAAACGAATAAAATATGGCCTTTTAAAAATTCTTCTGTTCTCTTTTGTCTTCTAACTGGTTTAGAAACACAGATTCCCA